CGTCCCCGGGAGCTTTTGGAGGAGGAATATCCCCCTTTCCAAGATTGGAATCTGGAGAACTCTCTACCAGGCCTTACCCCGAAAGGAACATCTGTCCTGTGGGAAAGATCTTTTAGGTCGTCTGTCTTGAGGAAGGAAAGCTTTACTCCCTTCCAGAGCCCTTTTAATACATTCATACAGATATTTGCCAAAAAGCATATCCCCTTGAAAGAGGAGGGCACATAGGCTATTTTTTGAAGATGTATCTGCCACCCAATTACGTAGCCAAAGAGCTCGTCTTGATGCTACTGACAGGACCATGCTTCTGGAGATGGATCTTACCAAATCTATAGAAGCTTCTGTTGAAAATTCAATAGCCAATTTAACTTTAGTCAAGGATTTCAACAGTCTGGATCTAATGACCTCACTTGAAATCTCCTCTTCGAGATCGTTCAGCCATTAGTTTAAGGCTCTGGAAATGGATGTCATGGCCACGGCTGGATGAAGCCCAGAGCCAGAGGCAATATAGGCTTTAGATAAATTAGAATCCATACGTTTGTCCGTAGGATCACGTAATGATCCGGCATTATCCACTGGAAGGGTGGTCTTTTTCGCTAAACGTACAATTGCTGCATCCACTTTGGCGGCAAGATCCCAAGAAACACGGTCATCTGATTTAAAAGGGTGAAGTTTAGAAAAACGAACCGGAATAGAAACTATTCTCTCAGATTTTTTCCATTCTTGTTGAGGTCCTCAATGGCTTCATGCAATGGAAAAGTAGGATTGTGCTTTCTTAGCTCTGCAAAGTGCTTACTGGAAGCTGGTTCTTCCTCTCTCTTATCACTGAGGTCCAAGGTTTCACATACCGCCTTGATTTTCTATTGTCTATGAAGACAGGAGAGGCACTAAACTTCATCTTGAGATGAAAATTCGTCTTCTTCAAATACTGGGGGCATATAATCATCTGAACTGAAATCAGGATCTCCTTCAGGGTTAGAGATTTACGTCTTTTCTTCGCCTTCTCGGACTGCCGAAGACCCTCTGAAACTGCTTGACCCATGTAAGAGAGAACATCTGGATCCGGTTCTGCAGGACCTGCTGCTGCTTTAAATAAAAGTGACTTACTCCAAACCTCGAGATTGCGACGTATTATTATTATTTATATAGCACCATTAGATTCTGTAGCGCTGTACAATGGGTGGACTAACAGACATGTAATTGTAACCAGGCAACTGGACGTACAGGAACAGAGAGGTGGAAAGCCCTGCTCAATGAGCTTACATTCTAGAGGGAGTGGGGTCTAGTGACACAAAGGGTAAAAGTAGGGGTACGAAGTAGGTTGTTAGAAAAGTATTCATTGAGGGCTTGGTAGATAATTTTTGACAGTTGCAGGAAAGAAGTCATGGGGGGTGGAGGATAAATAACCTGTTAACAGTTTAATTGATATGTTTTCTTGAAGAAGTGAGTTTTCAATTATTTTTAGAATGAGTGGAGATTGGGTGAAAGTCTTACGGAGAAGGGAAGGGAGTTCCACAGAAGAGGTGCAGTCCTGGAGAAATCTTGGAGGCGAGCTGGGCATACTTGTGTATTAGGGAGGATAGGTAGGTTGGAGCAGCATTATGTAGGGACTTGTAAGCAAGCACCAGAATTTTAAATTGAGCCCTATATCTAACTGGAAGCCAGTGCAGGGACTGACAGAGCGGGGAGGCATGGGAGGTGCGAGCGAACAGGAAAATTAGCCTCTCCGGGCATACTTGTGTATTAGGGAGGATAGGTAGGTTGGAGCAGCATTATGTAGGGACTTGTAAGCAAGCACCCCTAAGCTCTGCTACAGACCTACGTATATCCTCTGTCCGTACTCTCACCTCTAATGCTCGCCTCCAAGATTTGACTGGGCATACTTGTGTATTAGGGAGGATAGGTAGGTTGGAGCAGCATTATGTAGGGACTTGTAAGCAAGCACCAGAATTTTAAATTGAGCCCTATATCTAACTGGAAGCCAATGCAGGGACTGACAGAGCGGGGAGGCATGGGAGGTGCGAGCGAACAGGAAAATGAGCCTCTCCGCCGCATTCATTATAGATTGCAGCGGTGCAATCTGGGAACATGTAAGACCACTCAGAAGGGTATTGCAGTAGTCAAGGCGAGAGAGAACAAGAGCATGGACCAGCACCTTAGGATCTGGGGTATCTGGGGTTAAATAGGGGCGGATGCGCGCTATATTTTTGAGATGGAAGCAACAGGATTTGGCGATTGATTTGACATGAGGGGTGAAGGAGAGGTTGGAGTCAAAAAGAACACCCAGGCAGCGAGCCTTTGAGGTAGAGGTGATGGTAGCGCCGTGGGAGATAGACACGGGAGTAGTAACACTTGAGGGAAGAAAGACCAGAAGTTCTGTTTTGGACCGGTTGAGTTTAAGGAAGTGAGCAGCCATCCAGTTGGAAATCGAAGAGAGGCAGTCAGAGACACGAGTCAAGATGGGCGGAGAGAGATCAGGAGAGGACAGGTAGATTTCCGTGTCATCCGTATAGAAAGGATAATGGAAGCCAAAGGAGCTGATGAGTTCACCAAGGGAGGTAGTATAGATAGAGAACAGTAGGGGACCAAGGACAGAACCTTGGGGGACGCCGACAGAGAGTAGTTTGGGGGGGGGTGGGGAAGAGGCAGAGTCAGAGAAACAAACACTGAAAGGGCGCTGGGAGAGGTAGGAGGAGCACCAGGAGAGAGCAGTATCCCATAGACCAAAATTATGGAGAATGCGAAGAAGCTGTTTATGATCAACAGTGTCAAAGACAACAGAAAGATCAAGGAGAATTAGGCTGGAGTAATGGCCGCGAGATTTAGCAGCAATTAAATCATTGGATACTTTGGTCACAGCCGTTTCGACAGAATGACCAGCGCGGAATCCAGACTGAAGGGGGTCAAGCAGAGAGTTGGATTCGAGAAAGTCAGTCAGTCTGGTGTACACAACTCTCTCAAGGACTTTGGAGGCAAATGGCAGTAGCGAGATAGGGTGGTAGTTGGATGGGAAGTTGGGGTCAAGGCTGGGCTTTTTCAGAATCGGGGTTACCGTTGCATGTTTGAAGGGTGAGGGAAATGTGCCAGAGGAAAGGGAGAGATTGAAAATTTTAGTGAGAAGAAGAGCAAGAGAGGGAGACAAAGTGCGGATGAGATATGAGGGAATGGGATCGAGGGAACAGGTAGAGGGGCGGGAGGACCGGAGCAGAGCAGAAACCTCTTCTGCTGTAGCAGGTGTGAATGAGTGTAGAATGGTGGAGGGATTGGGGTCTTGAAGAATGACCGGGGGACTCCATCCTAAGTGGGCAGCTACAAAATTAAAAACAATGTTTCAAGCAATCAAATATATTCCACTTACCTGCAGCCAAAAGATAAAGGATGATCAATGCAGAGCAGACTGATAGTGAGATTAATGAAGGGATACAGGTACCAACCGAGGAAGTTCAAATGGCAACTTTCACCTTTAAATATAACTAAAACCAAGAAACCCGGGAGGATTAACCTCCCCTTGTTACAGGCCTCGCTCTGGTGTGCGTTCCACAACTGTAGCGAGTACCGCGATAGACTCAAAAAGCGGAAGTGATGTAACTGGACGTGTAGAAAACGGAACGCGCGCAGCATCGGCATGCGTTCCAAATCCGGAACGCGAAGACAGAAGGCCAACCTCATTACAATTCAACTTAAAAATGAGATAAAACAAGAAAGGAAAACCCCTGGTCAGGCAGACATTTACCATGAACTGCCACTTACTATTTTACCAGGAGACTGGCCAGGATCCATACTAGTCTCAGGTAATGGGAAAGCCAAGAAAACCCAAAATTATGCAGCAGGTAGGTGTACCCTTTTTCAGGAATTATCACCACAATGGGTCTGGTACCTCCAGCTGCTACCTATAGGGTCACTGCAGCACAGCTCCCGGTCGCTGAGAGGAGAATCCTCCAGGGGGTGGCCGTATCCTGAGGCTTCCACTGGGAGAGAGGCTGAACTCCCCATGGGCTAGGGGTACAATTAGACCCGAATAAGCCATAAAATAAAAAAAGAGGAGGTGAAATATTCTGTCCTTGCGTAGTGGACAGGAGAAAAAAAAAAAAAAGAATGAAGGGACAGGGGAGGAACTCTCTTTTATTTATTTAATTAGTAGGTGCCTCCTGTCCAATTAAGGAGGGGAGGAGCTATACCCATCCTTAGTGCTGCCATGGATATATCCAGGGAAATACTATTTTCGTAGGGGGTAGGAAACCTAAATGGTGTTTTCATACCTATAGTGTCAGGAATAGAGATGTCGCGAACTGCTCGCCGAACTGTTTGCCGGCGAACAATAGCGTGTTCGCGTTGGGCGAACATATGCGATTTCCGGTCCGCCCCCTATTCGTCATCATTGAGTACACTTTGACCCGGAACCTCACAGTCAGCAGACACTTCCTGGGAGGGAGGGTCTGCTGCTGATTGGCTGGAATGTGTCTGCTGACTGTGAGGTTCCGGGTCAACGTGTACTCACTGATGACGAATAGGGGGCGGACCGGAAATCGCATATGTTCGCCCAACACTAACACGCTATTGTTCGCCGGCGGACAGTTCGCGACATCTCTAGTCAGGAATACACGCTTGTATTTCTGACATTAGTTTTCATTTAACCCTGCAATGTAAACATTGCTGTTTCTAAAAAAAAAATGTTTGCCTTGCAGGGTTTAAATGACAGAATCTCTGCACCCAGAACACTTCATTGAGATTACCACTTTCTATCCCATGCTTCACACTGAGAATTGTGACCAAGTGCTGTGTCACTTGGCAAACAAATCAGCTGATCTAATGTTTATTGTAAAAACAAATTCACAATACAACCCCTGCCATAGTCACAGCACTCTATCAACACCACCACGGAGTGTCAAGTGCTTTGCGAGTATATTCACACCCCCCCGCCCCCTCCCAAAAAAACCCACTCTGCTCATAGTGACAAGGCATTCTGCTCGCCGGAAGTGACGTATGACACAGAGAGGGCAGAGATGGCGGCGTCCTTGTGCATGCTCGGGGGTCTGCTCGGCAGGACCGTCACTCGCGGCTTAGCTGCCAGGCCCCAGGTAAAACATCACACGGAGACCTGGGAAGGCGATACCGGGTCAGCCAAAGGCACGATAAGCCTGGTCTCCCAATATCATTGTGTGCTGGGCAGGGGGCTGCCATATAGCCGGTGTCTAGCTGCCCATATGGGAAGCACTGCCGCCTGTCTGCACGAGTGTTCCTGGCTTTTGGATAAAGTTCAGATTGTGACACGTGCTTTCTATTCTATAATGCTGTTAAGGGCTCAGTGATGTGACAGTGTAATTGTAATATACTAACTGAGCGACTGTGTAATGGTTTACATCACAGCAATGAAGTAAATATGACAAGTCAATATTAGAGAAATTAGGCATTTTTACATCAGTTTCGCGATGCCACCTCTAATGTATTTCAACAAGTTTCAACATGTTATTGACAATTTCTAAATAAGTCACCAAGACTTTTTCTTAATAAAAGTAATTTTGGCTCAGCAAATGTGGCTTGTTTTGTATTCAATTAATATACCTCCTATAGAATTGAGGGATGTCGAATACCGACACTTGGTGACACTTTTCGTAATCAGTTTGGAACAGGCTGGATTGACTGTTTAACTACAGAGTGGAGTACTTTGTAGTTTTTGTATTATCCATGCAATAGAGAAGCTGCTACTCTCTGGGCACTGGGAAGATCTCTGTTTGGGGCAGGGATGTAGTGTTTGGCATTCAAATGCCAACACTATACTCGCCTGCACTCAATCGCCAACACTTCACCCAAATACACACTTGCATTCACACATATCCCCTACAAAAACACACCTACATTCAAGCACATGGACAATGCACACAAATACAACCATGCAATGAGAAAATGGTAGATCCTCAGCTGGCAAGTTTTATTTCAATCTTTTGGTCATCAGTGTTCTAGTATAAGGGGTTAAAAAAAACTGTCTTGCACCAGGGCCCTCTCTTCATTAATTGACTGACTGCACAAATGTAAAAATCATAGGATTAAATGTTTTCCTTTTTTTCTTTTAAATATAACTTTGCAATATCACCCATAAAGAGTGTCCTTTTTGATACTTCTTGGTGCTAGTTATGTTCTCAGCAACTAAGTCTGTTTGAAAATGTTGTATATCCTTGCTATAAGACTTTGGGGGAGATTTATCAAAGTGTTCTTTTCTAAAAAGCAGTGTAAAGGCATAGTGGCACCAATGCAATGCTCTTGGTAGTTATGCGTGTTTCCATGGTGATTGCAACACTTTTATTACACTTTGAAAACTTTCTTACATTGATTGTTTACCAGCACCGTACATCTAAATGTTTTTTAAAGTTTTTCTTCACTGACATATCTTCTAACACACTCTTTCTGTGCAGCTGGGACTATTTGGATCAAACAGATGTAGATCCACACAAGTTGCAGCACAAGCAGTTTTAAACGTGCCAGAGACAAAAGTAACCACACTGGAAAACGGACTCCGTGTCACCTCAGAGGACTCAGGACTTTCAACATGTACAGTAAGAAAAACTCTTAAAGTTGTGCTTCTAAGGTTTTTAAGGCATACTCTAAGCACCAAAACAACTTTAGCTTAATGAAACAGATTTGGTCTATATATTGTATGCCTGCAGTCTCACTGCTCAATTCTGTTTAGATGTGAAGCCCTAGCTACACCACCCACATAGCCTCCGTGAAAAAAAAGTTTCCTTTTTACAGCACAGTGAGTTTACTTCACAAGTTCTTATCTCCTGGGGCGTAAGTCACACATTGGAGGCTGCCGTAGGCTCTAGAGTGAGTTAATGCAGCAGGAGCCTGTAAACTAAACACACTGTGCAATAAGGGGAGAATAATTTTTGTAAGTGTGTGGTTAGGGATACATAAACTAAAATAATTTATTTTTATAGGCAAAATTAAACAAGCACTACAAACACCATATGATGCCAGGAGAGCCATGCCTCCATCCCATTTTAAGATTCCAATCCATTCTGGCATGGTTTGACAAATTACCTGGGTCTCCTTGGGTGTACAAGGCTGCATTCCCTTTTGGTTTTCTCCAATAGGAAAAGCCAGGTGTCTCTGTTAAATAAAGCATTTATTTGCAAGGCCAAACTCATTGACTGAGAGCACTCCGCTTACACACTCATCCAATGAGAGTTGCCCTGTTTTGCTCTATTGAGCAATCTGGATTTCCTGTTGGAGAAGGCAAGGATTCTGAAGATGCAACTGTGGATGCTTGTTGGGACTAAGGTAAATTATCAAACTGTACTGAAATGCGTTGACATGACATATCCATAGGCGTGCGCACGGGGTGTACCTAGTCCCTAATTCCCGTGGCCCGCGCTATGTGCCGGAGATCAAAGATCTCCCTCACCGACCCACATGCAGGGAGGGAGGCAGGAGAGGACCCGGGGAGCTCTAGCCAGCAGCTCCGCCGGGTTCCTCTTGCGCGGTAACCGCGGCAACGCTAAGATCTCGCGAGAGTGAACTCTATCCCCGCAGGATACGGGGCTAGAGTTCACTCACCACAGGACCACCAGGGATGGCAGCAGCACAGTCCCCCCTCCCTACATAAGGTAAGAAGGGAGGGGGGATATTAACTAAACGGCCCCCCCACCCCCACACAATACACACAAACATACAGCACTCACACTAATAGCACCCTTACACACACAGCACCATTACACACACAGCACCCTCACACACTAACAACACCCTTACACATACACACACTAACATCACACACAGCACCCTTACACACACATACAGCACCCTTACACACACACACACACACTAACAGCATCCTCACACTAACATATCACCATTAAATAGTGCTAGAGCACTCCTGCCACCATAAATATAGGTATATTTAGGCCATTGTATAAGTGCATTGATGTTTGTTGTTTTTTTTAAATTTATTTTATTATTTGATAGGTTGGCTTGTGGATTGATGCAGGAAGCAGATATGAGAATCAACTTAATAATGGAACTGCACATTTTCTGGAGCACATGGCATTTAAGGTATGCAGCTAGCACATACATAGAAATGCACAGCCTTGACAAGATAATGCCAAGGTTAATATCAGATTGACGCCGGCTTGACTGTCAGCATTCATTTGGAGTCTTTACATCACCAAACTTGTGGGACAAAAACAAAATTCCCTCTGATCATGAAAAAAAGGACACTTATTTTGGATGTTGCTGTAATAAGTTTTAAAAATATTTGCCATACCTTGACTCATGACAGTTGTTGGCAGTTCTAGAATGATATGTAAATACAAACTGATTTTGTGAATCCATTGTAATTTGTGCTTTAGAATATAAAGTCTGAGAAGTTTAGGTTCAGCAACTTGTTAACCTTGAAGATTGTGGATAGGGACGTATTGAGGAAATATGGAACCACTTTTATTTTTCTTCTTAAACTTTATATTGGTGAACTGTGATCTTACAAGATGCTCTATAAATAGGTTTGACTGACTTGATAGATGGTAGACATGCATGGTATTCATGTTAGGTACACTCACTGGATCAGCCAGCAGATACTTGAAACTAATTAATAGACTTTAAAAAAAACAAAAACAAAAAAAAAATTATAAATAGAAAAATATCCATTAGTTTTCATACTTAAAAGATCACTTTAAACACTGTTACAGATTTGCATAAATCTGTATAGAGTACCCCGAGCTTAATCTCAGCTCTGAGAGTGCTTCAGAAATGTAGAACTTTTAATAAGTTCTAAGCTTCTGCTAGGAGCATCCATTATTTCTACACAGATCATCCTTGCAGTGCAGAACCAACTCATTGTCTGAGAGCATCAAGTGGTCACTCTCAGCCAGTGGGCTAAGCCTTACACCACCCAACCTACTTCAGCGAAGAGGCCACTCTGTTGATTTTTGCTGTGTTTAAAAGTTTAGTAACTTGTAGTCTGCTTTAAACGTTTTAGGCAAACATAATTTGTGGAAGCAATTATTTCTAAATCAAAAAAACAAAAACATTTTATGATTGCCCACACAATGCATACCAATGTATGCATTTGCTTCAGGTGCATTGCACTGTAACCTTGACAAAGACCGCAAGGTCGAAACGTTGTTACTTTGGGCTTCAATAAAATTGCCATTTCTGTATCTTGGAGTGCCTGAACTATTTTTTGTATTTCATGCTATTGCACTGTAACCTTGACTGCAGACCAGGTGGTAAGGAGCATCTTGCTGATGGTTTTTAAAGACCTCCCCATTGGATAATTGTTATATTACAGGGCTGTTCTTGCATGCAGGAAATATTAAATGCATAATGATGTAATTGTTATTCTTAACATTTGACAATCTCTTTTGATAGGGAACAAGAAAGCGTTCCCAGCTGGACCTAGAACTTGAGATTGAAAATATGGGTGCCCATCTAAATGCATACACGTCAAGAGAGCAAACTGTATACTATGCAAAGGCTTTCTCCAAAGACCTTCCCAGAGGTATGACATGCCTTTCCAAATTTAAAACACAACTGTGACTTCCCAGGATTTTTACTATTCTGTTTACCTATTCCTTATATTTAGCAGCAGTGCTTTTTGAGGTCTGAAAAATAAAATGAAATGTTGAAATCCACACTTCTCTTCTGATATTGGGCTCCCCCAACTTAGGTCCCTGTCTATCATCGTCCTAAATGTAATGAAAAAGGAGAAACGGAAATAGAATGTCTGTTCTTCTACTCCTCTGCATTGTGTACCTTGACTATGCCTGCACTGAACTGGATTGCGATATTTCTTGCCGAAATGATTTATTTTTATATATATATATATATATATGTGTGTGTGTGTGTATCAAAAGAACATATAACAAAAATGGATCAAGCTTGGCAGGTATGTCAAGTCAATGTACAGAATCAGAACTAATATAATAAACGAGGAATGCAGAGCTGTATCAGGCTGTATAAACTGTCATTTTACTTGATAATAGATACCACTGGGCATGAAAATATACATAGAAGAGCAGGTAGCCTACATCTCTATATAGAGGGAGCAGCATCTTGTTATTGATAAGCTCAGCCTACAACAATTAAAAAAATGTACAGTGACCTGATAAGAGTGGTCGCAGGAGCCTTGCCCAACTGTAACATACCTACCTCGAGCCGAGCCAAATATGCTTACAAAAGGGATCCTTTTTGGACCCTGAGCGTCCCCTTTGTGAAAGGTACTGTCTGCACTTGGTTCTAAGCTTCTTGCCGCTTGGATTTCGCAGTTTTTGCAAGTTTAAGTGCTTATTCTGGCAAGAGCTCCTAGAAAACATCTCTGGCCAGCTTGAAAACATCCAATTTTAAACCCCCTTCTTCCAGCACAGCACGGGTCAGTCGCGGCTGGCTCTGCTCCCTTGGAGATCAATCTTTTTTTCTTGCTCGTTACTACTGCTTCACACACATGAAATTCAAGAACTAACTGTTATTATTATTATTATTACTGGTATTTACATAGAGCCAGCATCTTCCGTAGCACTTTACAATATTATCAAAGGGGAAGATTTAACAATAAATGAGACCATTACAAAAACTTACAGGAACAATAGGTTGCAGAGGGCCCTGCTCAAACGAGCTTACAGTCTATAGGAGGTGGGGCGTAAAACCCAACAGGACAGGAGGTAGCAATCAAACAAGGTGGAGTGAAGCAGAGCTGGAGGAGAGAGAGTGCTGCCCTTTGGGAGAGAGCCTAGGGACAGGTACATGAGGTAGAGGGTACTCTGGAAGGCCATAAGCTTTCCTAAAGAGATGGAAGAAAGGAAAGCAGTGACACGTTGCAGGACGGCAAGGGAGAGATCCGGGGAGGAGGTATATCTGAGTTTGATCAGAGTACAGTTGGTATTTGAATCCAAATGAGGTAATAAGTTTTCCAGGAGAGGCAGTATAAAGAGAAAATGGAAAGGGACCAAGTACAGAGCCTTTGGGGGACCCCAACAGAGACAGGACAAAGGGAGGAGGTATCATTAGAAAAGGAGACACTGAATGTGTTGGGAGAGATAGGTGGGAAAACCAAGAAAGGACAGTGTCACAGAGAGTTTGGAGAAGGACAACATGGTCAAAAGTGTCAAAGGCAGCAGAGAGGTCAAGAACAATTTGTATGGAGTAATGCTCTTTGGATTTAGCTGCAATTAGGTCGTTAGTAACCTTGATAAGAGCAGTCTTAGTAGAGTGGAGGGGGCGGAAGCCAGACTGTAGAGGGTCAAGGAGAGAGTTGGAATTGAGGAAACAATTCAGACTGGTAAAGACCAGTCTTTCCAGAAGCTTTGAGGAAAAGGGCAGCAGGGATATGGGAGTATAGTTAGAAGGGGAGGATGGGTCAAGAGATGTGTTTTTTTTTTTTGTTTGTTTGTTTTTTAAGATGGGTACTACAGTAGCATATTTAAGGGCAGCAGGAACAACGCCAGAAGAGAGAGAGTCAGTGAAGATGTGTGTTAAGGAAGGCACAAGACAAGAGGAGAGAGATCTGATTAAGTTGAGATGGGACCGGATCAAGCGGGCAAGTGGTGGGGCGAGAGGGAAGGAGAAGCACAGCCACCGAGAAAGTCTGAAGGGTAGGAAAGGCATGATCCAGGTGTGGTTGAAAAATAGAGGGGCATGGTGGGGAGAATTCTTTCCTTAGCTGTTGAATCTTGTTACAATGGTATCTGTTCACGTGACAGATACCATTGTAACAATAAAATCAATGTTATGCACTTCACCTCTCAGTGGATTTAATGTTGTGGCTGATCAGTGTAAAGCACGTTTGGCGGGGATCCTTTTTGATTTTCATTTGAACCTTGCTAGACCTCCCTAGCTGACAGACAGATGCTCCTTTGCCTTCATAATAGTTTGCATCAAAACTCAAGAGACAGGTAATAGTCCAGAGCACCTTGCAAAGACTTCACAGTGAGTTGCAATACTTCTGTTATAAAAGCTGTAGTAATCTGTGCTCGAGAAGATTAGGAGGCAGCTGCATGCCAATATGTCATATATACCAAAATGTAGATAAAACATTTTCTATTTTGTTTGGGGGTGTATCTTCTAGATCCTTTTTTTTTATGGTGTGTTCCTTTAAGTGCATGATATCTGGATGATAACCAATGTATGCATTATTTTCCAATGCAATATTTGCCTGGTTACCAACATATAAGCATATATGTCTACTTCCATTGTTATTGGACTATGTATTCATAAATGTTACATTATACTTCCTGTGTCCAAAATGTTTCTCTGTTAAAAGAATATGACTGGACAATGTCCAGCACAAAGAAGAGAGAGTATAGTACTCGAAAAAGAGGCAGGTAAGCTCAGCTGCAAAAGAATTGTTTGCAGCAAAGAAGTAGGGTTTTAGGCAATTAGAAAATATTTTTGATAAATGTATATTTTTTTTTATTTACATGCATTAAAAACTCTGCATTAATACTCTATATTTTGTAATCTAATCTTTAAGTCGCATAACATTACCAGTGTTTTTGGTATTCAAAATTAAATTCCAAAGGCTTCATAGAGTAGCGCAAATAGGAAGGAGTTTTATTGTATGTAACACGATTAAGGCTTGATGCCGAAACGTTGTATAAAATTTTGTTCTCCTGATCGGAGTAAAACTCCTTCCTATTTTCACTACTCTGTGAACCGGTTGAAATTTGATTTTGAATACTTCTAAGGGACTGCTAATCCCTTCCATGGTGCTCCAAGCCGTGGTAGCAGGCTCTATTGGGTTCCCTGAGTGCAACACTACCTTTGGAATTGAATAACAGAGAATGTGTGGCTCCCTCAATTGGCAACTGGTCATCCAAACATTAGCAATGCGTATTCGACTAGATCCTAACATACTGAATTTGAATACAAATTAGGTTAGTCTTTGATAACTTTTCATTTCATACTTGGTAACTACAGTCCCATCTAAGACTAAAATCTTTTGAAGCTGAAACCTAAACATTGTGCTGACCATTTCTTATGACTGGATATATAGTTGTATAGTATTATAGAGTGAAAACAAAACCCAATCTTATCACTTTCTGCCTTTCACACATAAGAAATTGAATCTACTGCCTGCCATCCTTATTGCTGCTTGAAAAGAATCCCTTGATAACACACACATCAGATTTACTGATTTATATGTGCTTCACCATGTTTACTCATTTAAGTTCTAATTAAAATCTCCCTTGTATAAGTTCCTGAGAGACAAACCTGACATCATATTCTTAAATTCGATAAGTGGATTAATTAATGATAAATGGAGTTAAATGTGTAACAAAAGTACAAACCAATAGAATTCTCTTGGAAAATGTCTCTGCAGATAGACCAGTTATGTTCATGTTTTCTGTTGGAGATGCCAGCAAGTTGTAGTTTCTATGGCTCATATATGGATGTGCCATGGAAACTACAACTCTTCTACCCATCTTGCTAGCTGTCCAGGCAATTTAAAGAACATCTCAGAAAACCTATTTGTACTGTCTATAGTGTTGTCATGCCCTCTGAGATGCTTTCTTTCCTCAAGTAAATGCATAAATGTTCAACCTTTTTTCCTTTAAATCTAAAAGTTAAATCTTGTTTCCCTTATTAATTATGTAGTCTTACTCTCCACTTTCTCCCGTTATATAATATCCTCCTTTAAGGAACAACATAGATTTAGGAATAAAAAAAAAATGGATTCCTAACACTATAGTATCCCACAGCAGTTAACTATAGCCCCCCTACCCTCCGAGCCATGAATCAATGCTTTCCTATGGGGACTTAGAAGATGCTGGATGTCCTCAAGCAAAGCGTGAGGATGTCCAGTGTCATTTCACAGAGTTACACCCTGTGGAAAGCCAGGAAGAACCTCTAGTGGCTCTCTGGTAGACAACCACTTCAGGCAGTCTTAAAGGACCACTCATGCGTGCTCGCCCAGCCGCTTGTACACTGCTGAAGCTGGACTGAGGTCTGTTAGGGAGGGAGGGGGAGACAGGCACCCTCAAGCAGAGCGTGCCTGCCACTTCCGTTAGCTCAGGGGAGCTAACGGAAGTAGGAAGGAATCCTCCCTGGCTGTTTGTGTGACAGCCAGAGGGGAGTTCCCCCAGTTAATTTACAGAAGTGCTGATTTCTCATAGAAATCAATACTTTTATAAACTGTGGTTAAATGAGGGTACTCCTCACACATAATGCACTTTAGCAAGCTGCTGCTGGGGTGTGCAAGCTGCTTTTGGGGTGTGGAGTGGAACTTTAACGCTGCAATGTAAACATTGCAGGGTTAAGGGGACAAGGGCACTGTTCGCAGACACCTTCAATGAGATAAAGTGGCCTCAATGCCTTTTAGTGTCCATTTAAAAACCAGTATTAAATATTACACTGCATTGTCAAGGTGGCATCTAATTGTTGATTAGTATTGTGGCAACATTTTATTTCCACACTCCTTTTTATAAATGACTGTACCCTGTTGGCCTTTGCAGCTGCTGAATAGCAGAGTATTGCCTAAACTATTCTATTCTACTATTCTTGTTTAAATATCCCTGTTTCAAAAAAAAATAAAAATAAATATATATATATATATATATATATATATATATGAGAGAGAGAGAGATTTTGTGCATTTCTGTGCAACTGTATTCATTTGTTTCTCCATACCCTATCTATTTTTTTTTTTTAACTCTCTTGTACCTAAAATTCTTAAAGGGACACTATAGTCACCTGAACAACTTTAGCTTAATGAAGCAGTTTTGGTGTATAGAATATGCCCCTGCAGCCTCACTGCTCAATCCTCTGCCATTTAGGAGTTAAATCCCTTTGTTTATGAACCCTAGTCACACCTCCCTGCATGTGACCTGCACAGCCTTCCATAAACACTTCCTGTAAAGAGAGCCCTATTTAGGCTTTCTTTATTGCAAGTTCTGTTTAATTAAGATTTTCTTATCCCCTACTATGTTAATAGCTTGCTAGACCCTGCAAGAGCCTTCTGTATGTGATTAAAGTTCAATTTAGAGATTGAGATACAATTATTTAAGGTAAATTACATCTGTTTGAAAGTGAAACCAGTTTTTTTTTTTCATGCAGGCTCTGTCAGTCATAGCCAGGGGAGGTGTGGCTAGGGCTTCATAAACAGAAACAAAGTGATTTAACTCCTAAATGACAGTGAATTGAGCAGTGAAATTGCAGGGGAATGATCTATACACTAACTGCTTTATTTAGCTAAAGTAATTTAGGTGACTATAGTGTTCCTTTAACTAAATATGAAACTACACTACTAAAGCAAACATAAGGTCAAGTCAACAATGTGTATTAATACTAGATCTGTAAATATAAAGATGTATGATAGAACAAGAAATTGGACAGTGTAATTTAAGCGCTGTATAAACATAAAGGTGATATATTTAATCTCATGACAACAAGCTATGTAAATTGCATGAATGTTTGATGGAGTGTTGATATTGGCTGTGATTCAGGATCTGCTAATATGTAAATTTCTTTGCCAAGTTATTCCATTAAATCGTTTCTATACTAGGAAACCTTAAATGTATTCAATTATGATTCATTCAACGATAAATGATCTCCACTGAAATTAAAACACATTTTTTTTTTATGTATATATTTTGTTTTAATTACAAATCATTTTATCCTTTCTTTGCATATTAAATGTTTAATTTTGCTATTTTTTTATTTTTACAAAATTCTGTTTTGCAGCTGTAGAAATCCTTGCAGACATTATTCAGAACAGCACTTTAGGAGAGGCAGAAATTGAACGAGAACGAGGAGTCATCCTGCGGGAGATGCAGGAAGTGGAAACCAATCTCCAGGAAGTGGTCTTTGATTACCTGCATGCAACTGCTTATCACAACACTGCTCTTGGAAGAACTATATTGGGTCCCACCGAAAACATCAAGTAGGTTGACTAAAAGTTTATAGCACTGTTTTTTTTTTATTTTCCTCCTTTTACTATGACCTGTGATTTTTATTTTTCCAATGTTCCCTGCAGATCCATAAACCGTAATGACTTGGTTGAATACATCACAACGCATTACAAAGGGCCCCGCATAGTCTTGGCAGCGGCAGGTGGTGAGTTTGATTGCTCTGGTCCATATGGCATTGTGTAACCCTTCAGAAAAAGTAACTGTGCTTGAAATGTCAAAAAAAAAAAAAAAGTGCATTGCATATATCTTTTGTTTAGATTATTGAATATAATTAAATAAAATCCTCCCATCGTACTAAGGAGTTAATTTGTTAAAGACATTATGATTTGGGCATTAGCTACTTATTATTATACTTTAATTTGCCAGATTGTGACTCGTTTTATTCATTTTATCAAACAACCAAAACGGAAACCATGAATTGGTTCCCACTGATGACTGTTAAACAATACAATATATGCCTAGTTAGCTGTCTCAGGACCAACTTGCTATAACATGCTCTTAGAGATGGGCTAAACTGGTCATCACTTGCATTATTGCTATCCAAATTTAGACAGGTTTGTACTGACAGTACGGAATTGAAAATGTAATCTTTATTGTGGCAGCAATGGTATGCCGGACTGCAACAAAGACTCGTTGCATCAAAATCACTACAGTAAGTGGTTATTCTGTTTAGAGTGTCCCTTTTAACCCCTTAAGGACCAGGGGTTAAAGAACAATTAATAAATGTGGTCGGTAGTTTATAGTAGTCCGTACAGTCTGTCCTTTCCATGAAGCACAACCTTTTTCCGCTGAATAAATGAACTGCCTGGATAGGAATTGTGTGTGCTTTAATTTATGAATTGTTCGTAAAACAATTTTGTGTTGTGTTTTTAGGTGTGTCACACAGTGAACTGCTTCATTTAGCAAAGTACCACTTTGGTAACTTGCCTTCTACATACAAAGGAGAGATCCTCCCCCCATGCTCTTTCACAGGTAGCGAGGTAAGAACAGCATACATGTTTTCTTTTTTTTCTTTTAAAAGAAGAGGAGGATCAGGAGTATGGAGAAAAAATTGTCACCATGAAAGTACTAGAAATGAATGTGATTTGCAGCATGCGATATTTCTGACATAATCATGTTTGTATGTCTTATGCTGTGAAGTAGAAATACGCTATGATTTATAGAACTCCTTAAATGTAGTGCAATGTGTGGTTCAAGCTGGTCTGTTTCCTTCTAGATCCGTGTTCGGGATGATAAAATGCCATTGGCACACATTGCCATTTCTGTGGAAGCAGTTGGCTGGTCTCATCCAGACACTTTACCTCTTATGGTGGCCAATACACTCATTGGAAACTGGGATCGGTCCTTCGGTGGTGGCGTGGTATGGGAATATTCATGTGTCAGCAGAGTTTTTAGATAACTAGGTTTACCTTGTGCTTTTATGTCTAAAATTTATATCTCGTAACTAAAATACATATAGTTTAACCATTAAAAAAAAAAAATGTATTCGTTTTTTTTTTTCCATGGTTGCTTAATTTCTTTTAAGCAACTTTTGGTACTTTTGTGACTCAAACCTACTAAATTCTAATATTTAATTTTGGATAATTATGTCGTTGTAGAATCTTTCGCCATTTAAAAATAAAATAAAAATAGTAAAACATTTTTAACATTAACAAAGTAGTTTACTATGCTAAAAAAGCAAAATGGAAACCACGGTCAAAACTTTAAAATAATGGTTTTATATATATAATACTCTCTCTCCCCCCTACCTTCCCCTAAGTAAAGTATAGCCTGAACTTTAGTAAAATATTGTATTTAGGTCAAATAGCAATTAGATCAATATAACCTATTTTCTTCTTTTAATTGTTATAATTGTATTTTTATTTTCTATCAATGCCATCCATTAGTAATACTTTGGTATTTGGTTTTAAAGAAAATAACCTATATTTATAACCTGGGTAAAGTCATGCGCATGTATAGATTTCTTATGGATATTGTTCTTTATTATCCAGAATTTATCCAGCAAGTTGGCCCAGGTCAGCTGCCATGGCAACTTGTGTCACAGCTTCCAGTCATTCAACACCTGTTATACAGACACTGGGCTTTGGGGATTGTACATGGTGTGTGAGCCCAACACCGTGGCAGATATGATGCATTTTGTTCAGAGAGAATGGTAAGCTATATTTGCTATGGCCTGATTCAGCAGCGGTTTTATACAGTATGCTTATGTAGGTTCATGCTAAATAACCTTGACTTAAGAGTATTTGTAAATTTGGGAGAATTCTTTGTTTTCTTGTATACACACACTATTTTAACTGGTGTATAAGATGGCAAAACCACAAAAGACAAATATTCTTTTCCATTTTATAATTTTTTAAAATACGAATATCAAAGAGCTGCTATATTTTATTTATTTCTATATTCTCACCTCCTATAGTTTTAATATAATATTCCTGCATATGTTTAGTAGAGAGACTAAGTGATTTGGGAAATGAGTTTATCCCCACAATAAACCCTTCTTATGGAGTGTTTGTTTTTCTGAGCGCTACTCTTACATGTATAAAGATTAGATATGCAAAAAGAAAACATTATAGTGTGATATCCTTTTTTTAAGCTCCTGCAAAATTGTAAATAAATACTTACCCATTGTATTCTTGAGGGCCTTAAAGGGACACTGCAGATCCGTAAAGCAGTGTCAGATTACAGATTTTAATAGAAGTTGTCAATTTTACAAATTAACCTGTCTACACCTCCTAGCTGTTAATCACCAATCCTGGTTGTACCAGGGTGGTTTGGCTCTGCCCCTTCCTACCTCCTTGGCTGAGGTCAACCAAGGAGGCGGGTCAGAGCCAGCGCTGGATACAAGGTGGGTGAGTTTTCTAGATATATTAAGGGGGGAGGGGATGTTGGGATGTTAACACTATAGGGTCGGGAATATGTTTGTGTTCCTGACCCTATAGTGCACCTTTCAATGCATGCATGTTTTCATTGAGGGTTTATCTACTAAATAGTAAGTTTGAACAGTAGTGTGTTCCTTTAAATGAAATTAAACCATGCAAGATCACTTGTGTGAATTTTCTTCCGAGTCCCTTCTTTATAGTTTCCTACAACCTGACTTTATTGTTTAGCATTCTTTACTTTCTTAGATATTGAGTTATTCGCATGCAGAGGGGGTGGCCGATGACTGTATAGTAAAATCTGCATCTTTAAATGTTTTGAATTGTCAGGATAAGACTCTGTACAAGTGTTACTGAGAATGAAGTTGCACGAGCCAAGAATCTGCTCAAGACAAACATGTTGCTCCAGCTGGATGGTAAGCTTTAATAATGTGTTACTAAATTACTTATATACATATTTAACCTTTGCTAAATAATGCTTTAATGTTACAGGATCCACACCAATTTGTGAGGATATTGGGAGGCAGATGTTGTGTTATAATCGTAGAATTCCCCTGCCTGAACTGGAAGCAAGAATCGATGTGAGTGTTCCTTGCCTCATGTTTATTAAATTTATATTTAATATCCATTAGTGCATTTTACAAAGTTGCCCACAGGATGAACTTTATTCCGATCTATAATTTTTGCTTCCAATGCGTGCTGTACCATCTGTTTTGAAATATTAATATACTGCAAGAGAACAATTCTAAACATATCTTGCTTGTCAAAAGCATTACTTCAAATGGGCAGTCAGGATTTTATGCATTCCTGCGTTTTTCTAATGAACAAATTATATTCAATTACATATGTCATCGTGCTGTGTCCAATACTCAATGTAGTACTGTTACTAGTGGGGTTTTTGCATTTTTTTTTTGTAATATTCATACATACCTAAGGCTCTCCCCTCCTTAGTGCTGTTTCAGTCTACCAGAAAAGCCACATCTTTTATATAGAAATGCACAGGACAAAAATAAGTGTCTACTGGAAAAATAGAACACTGTAAGACAGCACAAGCTTGTTTGAATTTTAGCTTTTGCCTTGTAAATGAATGGACGTCTTACATGTATATGTCCTGTTTGTCAAAAAATTCCAATGTAGTCAGAGTTACAAAAATACCTTGAAAAACTCAATTGACAATGCTGGGTTCATATTTTTAGGTTTGAATGCCAAATTGCTTACGTGATATGTTTATTTCCCTAGCTCATTGATGCCCAGACAATAAGAGATGTCTGTACCAAGTACATTTATGATAAGTGCCCTGCGATTGCAGCTGTTGGTAAGTTTTCTGACCTTGCATATATGTATTGATTGATATGGGCTGGTGGAATAAGTTCTGTTAATAACTTAAATGTTCTAGATTTAGATTAGTTTCTGCTTTTACAAAACCATGAGGCCAAGACCTTTGGTCTCTCAGGTATTTTTTGTGGCTACTCCAATTCTAACTATACTTGTGAGGCACACCATGCTGTAATGTATTTAATAGATATGCTACAGGAAGGAGATAAATCAGGGCAGTGTGTTTGGAATTCCTCCATACTACAGGAAGCCATGACAAACATAAAAACCTCATCTCCCGGACACACATTCTAATTCTCAGAAATCGAGTAACAAACATCACTGAAATAGTTTTTGTTCCAATGTTTCATGGAATATCTTCATTATAACTTATTGCTCTTCATTATTTGAAAGCACACATCGCTATATTTTTCACTGCTGCATCAGTGAGAAATGTATCCTGTATTTTTTTTTTAATTAAGCTAGCTCCAGGTTCCTAGCACTTTGGGTGTATGTCTTTAGCAATGTACCTTGCTATACTACAAGCTTTTGTAATGTTGCCTTTCTATTTTGTTCCAGGTCCTATTGGACAGCTCCCTGATTATGACAGAATACGAAGTGGGATGTACTGGCTGAGGCGATAAAGGACCTGGGTCCATCATCAGCTGATAATAGCGAATCTTCTGTACATATGCCAAACAATTGTTAATATAATTTATCCAGTCAAATACTGATTAACTTTTCTTTTTTTATTATAAAATATAACACACACACAGTTCCAAAAGTCTCATTTCTTGGTTTTTGCATTTACAACTTGTTCTTGTGCAGCTTTCTTGGCTTTCACCATTTCGACCAGTTCCTATGAAAAGAAAACCAAAACATAGCTCAATAAAAATTCAAAGCTGCTCCATGTTTTTTTTTTTTTTATTATAATAAAAGATTTAACAGCATTTTGCCATTTCATTCTGCTTTCGTTAGATGTTGATTAAATGGTGAAAAAGTTACTGAAAAGGGTAATTATAATGAAAATTTGTGCAGCAACATACATGTAGTGAGTGACTGGATCTTTATTAAAGGCACAAGACAGTGAAAATGGTCCGTCTAATCTCGGAACTTTGTCAGGTGGAGCATCTACGCACTTTGTCTCTATTCAGAGACTTTATCAAGACCTTACATACTGTCTTATTGAACGTCTCAGAGGTGGCGGGAACAACAATTTCCTCCCTCTCTGTGCCTGGCACCCATCAGTACCCCTTGCTCACACGTACTTTTAGGAGATTTCATTATAGGAGACATTGAATTTTTTTTTTTTTCTTTCTTACTGCACTAGCACTGTTTATTTTTATATCTCTGTATACTTATTAATTTAGCTGCATTTATTTATATACACACACTTTTTTTCTCTCTATAATCCTGTTTGTTTATGCAGTATTCACCATTTTCAGATCTAGGAGTGATAAACCCTCCCACTCTAGGCTGCCACATGCTGCAGCTTTACAAGTTATACTGTACCTAGCCTATTTTGGGACATTTTGATACTTGTGGTAAGAATCACTTTGTGATAGCTGGTTAGTTTATGAACTGGTTACTATTATCTTTTAGTTCAGAGATACATCTATTCTTAATAAATGTGTTTACCTTTTGCACATTTTGGTCCGGCAGGTTTTTTTATATGTACCATTTACCTTAGAGTTTTTTTTTTTTTTTGGGGGGGGGGGGGGGTTACATTCTTTGAAGCGCAAATACATATTTTAGTAGTAGATTAAATGGTGCAACACTGAGGTAGATCTATTAAAGTTTAAACACTATAGTTATGTAACTTCTGCATCTAAATGTATTTATTCATACAGGAGAATCACTATAAATATATCCTTACCTTGTATCGCTTCATGCAGTCCTTCTTGGACCTGCCAGGGACAGCAGATGCTATTTTTTCCCATCTCTCTGTGGTATTCACAGGATAGGTCTTTAAAGCTTGCTCTAGAAGTTTTTGTTCTTCAGTGGTCCAGGGTGTAGAGTCTGAACCTGTGCCTTGGAAATAATCACAGCGTAAACATACAGATGTTGCAATTGCGTGGCTTATTCACTAAAGGCTGAATTGCTCAGGTCTGGATTATGAAAAATAACCAAAACACCTAAATTCCTGTTGGTACCATGGAGCCCAAGGTATCATTTGATACCCAAGGGTCCCCTCTGTCTGACAGCTGAACTGTATGCAGCCCCTTAAGGCGAGCACTGCAAATAACCCTTTAAATCACTGCGGTTAAGAATTGAATTTCAGTTAATGCAATATTACTGTATTTTCAAGGAGAATGAGATTGCATTTTGGAGATGCAGCTGTCCACAAAAGTACTGTAATGTAGCCATTTATTTTTGCCTATGACTGCAGCATTTGTAAAATTTCATAAAAAATATAATCTATACCCAGTTTAAATTTGCCCACATTACCTTTTAAGATCTCTCCCCCACCCTTCCATCACTTCCCAGTAGCAAATATTATGAAAGTAATTACATTAAGATTACAGAACTCATAACAGGTAGGGCACAGGCTCACTCCCTCACCGGGATTTGCACAAAGTTACTTAGGTCCTGGTACAGGATACACCCAAAACACCTATATCTTTCAAACAGTTGCCCAGACATGCACCTGTTTCTGCGTTTATACCTGGTATGGGCTCTACACCCACAATAGAGCCTTGGCTGCTAGAACCTAACCAAACTACCCGGTTACCTTAACCCACTGCTTCTACAACTATGTAATTGTACCACGTCCTACAAACTTTGTGAATTTGTAACCTAAATGATACGGTCTGTCGTTGCTTATACATAAATTGAAACTCTAAAGAATTTAAGTAACATGGAGGGGTGAATAACCCTGTGAGTGAAGCCTACCCAACTAAACATGTGCAATACTGGGAACGGACTTGACCACTTACCGTCAAACCTCTCTGAAGGCACAGCATTATCCACAGATTGAGGAACAACTTTATGCTCCTTTTTGAATTTATCAAATGCTTTCTTATTTATGTCATCCTTTTGCTGGGGATCTGGAAAAAAAAAAAGACATGCATTTGTTCTTAAAACTACACTGAAAAAAGTGATACTTCACATATTTGCACAGAAATCTTCTCTTTGGATATAGGCTTACCTAGTTTTTGAAGGGATTTTGCTTTATTGATGACATCCTTTGCATTCCTTTTAATCCCAGAAACTGAATGCAAATTCATGTAATTAGCAATCACTTCCCATCTGGAGCAACAGACAGAGGAAATAACAGAAAAATTAGACATAGGTCAGGTAAAAAGCACAGGACATTTCTAACAATGAATCCCAATATGTAGTGTTTGCTTTTTTGCTCCAATAACACTGCTGTGTCATTACATGTAGTTAAAGTGTTTATCCAATCAGACCCCAGATTTGTTTAACCCCTTAAGGACCAAACTTCTGGAATAAAAGGGAATCATGACATGTCAGACATGTGTCCTTAAGGGGTTAATGCATTATATAGATAATGCACTAAATAATACAAACTGATGTAAATAAAAATGCACACATGGAAATTGTTGCTAAACACACTGCTTAGTGGGTGGGCAGGCGGACACCCTTCCACACCAGGATGAGATGCTCCAATCAGTTTTATGGAGGCTAATCTTATTCCATAACCTCTGTGTATCAAGAGAAAATAGAATACTGTGGCTGCTATCATTTTCTCTGTTTATTAAACCCTCTGCAAAAGATGCACAGTCTGGGTATTTGCAGCAAATTGATATTTTAATGTGCTGTTTTTGAATGCATTAAGAAACAATGGTTCACTTCTGGAAGAGATTAGTGAGCCAACATGTAACTATAAGCACCCGATAAGAATAAACAGGTGCTATAGTAACTGCATAAAAATATTTCACAAGCAGTCATCGATGTACTGGACATCCCGATTTTCCACTATACCTTGCATTAGTTCCAGCAGGAAATAGGTTCACAGCTTTTATCAATAACTGTAAATCATCTTCTGACCAAGACTTGCCGCTGCCTCCACTTCCTCCTGTAGCAGACTGATCTGCACCTTTTGTAGATTGTCTCATACGAGCCTCTTCCTGTTCTTTCTCTTTTTTAAGTTGGGCATTTACATCAACAACCTAAAAGAGGGAAAAAAAAAAAAAAAAGGAAAAGATGTTGCCATTATCTCGCTTTGTTGGTCAAACCCCAATATGACTATATAAATTCTCACAATTGACTGCACATGCAGTCAAATATAATGCAAACGTGGAGTAGGGAAATCACAGACAGAGGGAGAGCAATTGTATACAAAATAGTGTCTACTCCTTAAATAGTAATAAAAACATTTTAGATGTCAAATCAGTGCCTTAATAAAGATAATGGCAAAAATGGTTGAAGGACTGGCAAAGTTTGCTTGCTTTCAGTAAGGTGATGTAAAGTATTTTTGCACTGTATTTGAGTTATCTGCATAAATAGCACTTGTGCCTTCAAACAAAAGACTCATAAAACGATGTATTGGGCATTGTAAAGAATCCCATTACTCTCCTTCCCAATAATGTAAAGGATTACTCCAAGCATCTATCACATAGTGATATCTGTAGACTGGGTTGGTGTGGAGGTATTCAGAGGGACACATGCAAAAATGGTTTGACTACTTAATACAGGGTCTGCGTCACAGCATGCCTGGCAGCAAAAAACACTACAGCAGTCTGTAGTGGTTATGGTGCTTAGACTTCCTCGATAACTCCTAACTCCATATAGTCCCAGTCTTTGCCATTCTCTGACATCAGCATCAAGCCATGACTTAGGCACAGACAAAGTTCCCTACGGGTTTGAATTTCAAACCAAGCATCAAAGTGTGTGTATTGAAACATATGAGTGTGAGCACAGTTAGAATTCTGTAAAATTAAAACTGGTTGTCCCAAGTAGTGATTTATGAAAGCACTGCACAGATTAAGACATTTTGGACAATGATCCTTTAAGCCTCGCCAACCACTGGAAGTAGGGCTAATACGCAGAACAACTCCGCATTAGCCAAGTCAATTCATACCAGTGATGGGCAACTGCGATAGGCTGAGAGCACCCAGCCGACACGCTGAGGCTCTTACTGCTGCCTATTTCTGGTAGGATAATGTAGAAGTATTAACTCAAGCAGTAGGGAAGGGCAGATGTTTGGGGACATTCATTCATTGTTCAACTGTTCAAGAATTAAGTCTTAACAGAGGGATGATGCCACAGGACTAAAGGCATGATGACCACTTCAGTTAAGTGAAGTGGCTATGGTGCTTAGAAATTCACTTAAAACAAGTAGAATATATAACTCTGCAAGTACCTGTTTTTCTACAACAACTTTCCCTTCTTCTTTTGAGCTTGCTGAAAGTGCCTCATTCAGGGACTGTAAACTAAAAGTGAAAATAGAAAGAGGAAAATCAAATGGAGAAAAAAAAAAAGAATTCATAAAAAGAATGAAAAAAAAATATAAAATAAAAATATGAGACCAGCAAATATTCTCTTCCAAACTGATTATAATTTTATAGTCAAAATGCTACAATTAAAATCAAATTAACCAGGAGGGGATCCCAAATAAGGTCTCTCACCCTCGAACATCATGGCTTGCTGCAGTCAATCTTTGAAACACAGCTAAATCAGCGGTCAGTAAGAAGTACACAGAACAATATCTGCTAATTTAGGAGTCTAGTTTTTGAGCAATAAAGGAAAATAAAATGAAAAAAAATAATCTAATTTCATTTTTGCCACACCAAAAAGATTTTTTAATAAACATTGAAGAATTCTGGGTCTTTGCATAACACTTCAAAGCCATTAGATTTAAACAAACTATTAAAAATACTCCTTTCTACATGCAGAATATATTTTGATCCAGTATATGTATTACTCTTTACACAATTAGTTTCAAGGCTAATTTATAAAGTCTGCCTTTTAGTTGCTCCTTATATGTAATCTCAACTTCATAAATGAACACTTTCAAAGAAAAGTCAAAAGTCAAACATCAGGAATCCTAAAGTAATGCCTATTAGGTGTTATGTATAAAAAAAATTGTGGTAGAATAATAAAGCTCATAGATAAAAGGATTGGTAGCAGAAATAAGAACCTGTACCAAAAATCCAATCATCTAATTAATTGTATAGGAATGCTGGTGCCCAGTGATGTATAAAATAGTAATTCTTTAGATTATTTTATTGTACTCAAATTGTGCGGAACCAGAGTTTGAAATGTAGATCTATAAAACCAAATTAGAATAATTATAAACCTGTAACACATTTTACAGGGAGCAATGGATTACCTGGCAAGTTCAAGGCGGTCACACAATTTTTCAATTTCTTCCATCATTTTCACACTTTCTGCTTCGTTATCCGAAAAGTAATTCCAATTCTGCATGTTAATAAAAATTAGAATTATGTAACAAGAGAACAAAGCAATGCACGTGCTCTAAACCACAATTTGACAATCCTTGTTAATTTGTAATATATAAAAAAAAAAAATAAAAAAAAAAAAATGGTGGCCATTGGATAGTAACATTTTATTGTGTGTATATAAATGCACAGATTATAAAGAGCATAAAAAAGTACATAAGTAGAGTTTACTTGCAGTGATTTGCATTTTTGGTAAAAAATTACTTTTTTTCTTTAACGCACAGATGGGGGTTGTAAAATCACTCTAAGTTGAATTAGTAAATTTTACTAGGCTCTTATACTTAGGAGCAGCGTTTACCTCTAATCAGGGCTAAATAAATTGTACCCAGCAAGCCAAATCTTTTATAATTGATGTAATAATCAAAAGGAACAAATAACAGTCATTCACAGAAGCACTATACTATGTTACTAACTTTGCAAGAGGTCCGCAGTCTCTGCCGTTCTTTCTTTATTGCCTTCTTCTGAATTTCTTTTTCCTTCTTTGCTAGTTGTGCTTGTTGCCGTGCCTCCTCATCTTCCTTCTCCTTTGCGAGTCGAACAGCTTCCAGTTCCGCTTGTCTTTGCTAAAATATGCAGATTTGGCAATTCAACACTTTTTTAACCAAATGCCTGCTTACATACTGTTCATAAATTTAGAATGGCTAATAATTCATAATAAAAAATGAATGTTATACTGCCAAGCTAGCATTTCTACACAAAGCAGAGATTTATCAAGGTACAAAAAAAAAAAAAAAAAAAAGAAGGTCACGACTTGTTAAAGCAGCTCTATTAAAGCCAACGCCTTCATTTAAAATTTGTCTGTAGAGTTAGAGGAAAAAAAAATTTAAAAATTTAAATTTGTATTTTTGTTGAAAGAAAATTTATAGTGTTAGACATACAAAACGTTTTTTTAAACACTACAGTGCCCTCTTGCTCCCATTTCCCCCACCCACTTTTCTAGACACTAGATGTCCTCATGCCGAGTTTGCGAATGTCCAGCGTCCTTTCAAAACAGTCAAACTCTGTGAAACTATAGAAGGAGCCTCTAGAGGAAGTCTTAACACTGTTTCACATTACAGATTTTAATGGAACAGGAACACTGCACCCAGATGTGATGAAGTGCTTTGGGTGCCTATAGATGAGTAAGATTAAACATTTACAAATACCTAATTTGAAAGAGTTCTCCAATTCCACATTTTCCAAAACTTTGGACAAAATATTTGCTCCAATTATTTTTCATTTGACCATTAAATATATTTTGACCATTAAATAAACATTATAAATATACAAATATTTTGAAATACTCTGCACATATATTTAGTCAAATACAAATAGGTAAACATATACCCTTTCTTTTTCTTCCTGCTCTTTCCGTCTGGCATCAACCTTGGCTTTCTTTTCTGCTTCTTTCCTGGCTTTTTCTTCCTCTTTGAACTTCTTTATTCTAGGGTCGCTGCTATACGCATTGTCTAGGATAAGAATTAGGACATTTTGACTTTATGTATCAGTTAAAACTGTTTATGTTCAGTAATTTTCTCTTTGAAATATACCTAGTGTTCAAGTACAATCACCTGACAGATTCATGACAAAATTTGTATTTATCAAGAAAATAACATTGCAATAGAAATTCTAATTGTTTTGTTTAACCCCTTAAGGACTGGACTGTTTTTGCGATGTTGTACATTTGCGACCAGGCATATTTTTACACTTTTGTGGTGTTTGTGTTTAGCTGTAATTTTCCGCTCTCACATTTACTGTTCCTATACAAATTATATATTGTTTTTTTCAAGACAAAATGGGCTTTCTTTACATACCATTATTTATATAACCTCATGTATTTTAATTTAAAAAATAAAAAAATATGATGAAAAATTGGAAAAAAAATACATGTTTTTTGACTTTTACTTGAAAAATCTTTTACTCATCTATAAAAGCAAATGGAAAAAACTGCTAAATAGATTCAAAAATTTTGTCCTGAGTTTAAAAATACCCAGTGTTTTTTTGCATGTTATAGGCACAAGTAGATATTGCGGTTTCAAAACATACATTTTTTAAATTTATCAATAGTGACATTGTAACACTATTATCTGTCATAAATCTCTGAATAACACCCCACATGTACATATTTTTTTTAAAGTAGACAACCCAGGGTATTCAATATGGGGTATGTCCAGTCTTTTTTAGTAGCCACTTAGTCGAAAACACTGGTCAAAGTAAGCATTCATATTTGTTTGTGTGTGAAAAAAGTAAAAAAACTAAATTGAACGCTAATTTGTGCCAGTGTTTGTGACTAAGTGGTTACTAAAAAAGACTGGACATACCCCATTTGCAATACCTTGGGTTGTCTTCTTTGCAAATGGTATGCCATCATGGGGGTAATTCTCATTCCTGGGCTACCAACCTGGCCATTTTCAATGTAAAAATATTTGATCTGGTAACTTTCAAAAATGCTATAAAACCTGTACATAGGGGGTACTGTTATAATTGGGAGACTTTGCTGAACACAAATATTAGTGTTTCAAAACAGGAAAACGTATCACAACAATCATCAGTAAAAGTGCTGTTTGTGTGTAAAAAATGCAAAAAAAAAGTCACTTTCACTGACAATATCATCGCTGTGATATGTTTTACTGTTTTGAATCACTAATATTTGTGTTCAGCGAAGTCTCCTGAGTAAAACAGTACCCCCCATGTACAGGTTTTAGGGTGTCTTCAAACTTTACAGGGTAAAATACAGTGCTAGCAAATTAAATTCTCTGGACTTTCAGCCTGGGTTGGCAGGCAGGTCCCTCAAATTGCAATCAATAAAATTACTTAATTATGTAAAAATATTACATAAATATGCACATAGAATTTAAATATATATGCATTTTTATATATTTGAAGTCTACGTGTATATTTATATAATTATTTATGTAATTATGGACATATGTATATTTCGTATTATTTTTATTTATTTATATATACATAGATATATATACAAATTCATTCTAAGTGTATTTTGATATAAATATATATATTAATTTTAAATTACAGTTAGAATAAAATTTCATAGATATATTTAAAAAATTTTTTATTTAAATTACTTATTTATATTTTATAATAATATATATATACACACACAATATATAAAGTTATATATATATATATATATATATATATATATATATATATATATATATAATATATATACACACACACACACACACACACACGTGTGTAATTTAATTCTAAGTGTATTTTTATATTAATATAAGTACATATTAATATAAAAATACACTTAGTATGACATATATATATATATATATATACACACACACACACACACACACACACACACACATTTATTTTTTATTAACACTAACTTTTTTTTTGATTTTACACTAGCAGGGAGACTGCCTGTCAGCACAGGCAGTCCCCCTGCAGGCAGACACATGGACACCTATTGTGACCATGTGATCGCTGTGTTAAGCGATCACATGGCCACAGGGGTCCTAATCCAGTGTGGGGAGACTGTCTGGGCTGCAGGCAAAATGCCGATGACGGTCCTGAACCGTCCTCAGTCCTTAAGGGGTTAAGCTTCTTTATTTGGTGTCATCACATTTCACTCAATTTCAAGCTTTGTTACTATCCACAATTTATTATTTTTTATTTTTATTTTTTTTTAAACACTGATCAAAAATAAATAAAAATAAATTACTAAAAGCTTTATTTTTGCTATATATTACTTTTGTGCATCTGTGTATATTATTTTTATGCTTATCAGTATGCATTTCCTGTGCAACTATACTTTATCTTGGTTGGTACGTAGGAGTCACAATACCAGTGACTGATTGCTAAACACATAGTAAAAATCAATCATACATACCAACTAATGTTCTTATTCTGTTCATTTCTTCTTTTTTCCTTTGTGCTCTGGCAGCCCTGTTCTGCTTCTCAATCCACCTCCTCTCGTCACGACTGTAAAAGGATTAAAACAAAATGAAACAACATATGATTGTGTGGTGTATGCTTCATAGTTAGCAATACGATGTACGTAGTGGATGTATGGAATGGTTACCCAGTACAGTTGGCCATATTAGACTTATGAGGTTAACTGTGTCTGGGAAACAAAGAGATAAATGTTGTTGGTGTTAGTACAGCAATTAAGACATGTTTTATATCCCTGTTCGAGTGTAGAGGCATTTACAACTGGCCAGTGGTTTTGAGGTCTACTGAACTTTATTAATAGGGCCTTAGAACCTGAGATGAGCAGGAAAAGTGTATAAATGATCTGATGAAACCTAAAAACGTTGTAATCCACTTTAGAGCTAAATCAGACTTGAAGTGGATTATCATTACCAAAAGCTATCCTGGGACAGAAAGACTGGTATGTTGCTAGTACAGCAAATATTAAGGTTTACTATTCATTTTATCCATTTATATTGTATCTTTTTGTTGGTGTATGTAAAATTTTGTTTGTAATCTATTTTAGATGTATGCACTGTGACTTTTTGTTCATAAAAAACGTGCTTTTATCTAGTATAAGAATCACGTTACTGAAAAGACACATCAAATATTTTTTTGCTAAACCATGTTCTGTGTGGTTTTTAAATCTAATTTTGTTAGGGTAACTTAGGATGTACCAGTTTTCAGTTTCTAAAGTGTCTTGGTTATGGCAACTTTTGTAGGCATGGGTTGTGAGAAGTGGGATTTTTTTTATCATGAATGTGGGTCGACTGTAGAAAAACTATGATTTTAACTGTTTAACCCACTAAATCAAGTCACATGACTCCTTTCTGAGAGTGGGGGGAGGTGGGGGGAGGGGTGGGGGTTAATGACATACGCCAAAGTAAAACACAGGGTAGAGCAAGTTAAGAAAGCAAAATATTCCTTCAATAAAGAAAATACTCAGATGTTAAAGGGGCTGTGCAGAATCCACACACCAAATGACTGCAGCTGTACACTTCACAAGATAGAAATAATCTGTAGGTAAATTGCCGAATGCTGGGGGGTCATCTTTAATTCAGCTGAAGTTTTACCTTCTCCAGACTTCAATACATTCGACAGTTCGAACGCTGTTCGACAGTTTGAATGGTTGTCGTTCGTCTGTTTGAACTGACTTTAACATGGGAAATAGACCGACCGCAGCGCTTGATTCTCTGGAATTGTTTTGTGCATGAAAATGTGCTTGCGGTCGGTCAAAGGGGACTTATATCTATCTCCCGAACAGCTGAACAGATTCGAATGATTTTTGGGTATGTTTGTATTTGAAATATGCTGATTAATAATATTTTATTAATATTGGATGTATAGTTTTAGAGTTATGAAAGTTGGGTAAAAAGTATGTTTTAAACTGTACAGCTAATTGTGTTACCTCTCAGGCAAAGGGGAGGAGATGTGTGGGATGTAACCAGTGTGCGATTGGGTAATGCATAATTGTCTGTGGGCGTCTCCCTTGCACGGGAGAATTGCATAAAAGCATAGTGTGTGTCATTAAAAACCTCAGTTCTACTCCACCCTCAATTTGGAGTGCCGTCTCTTATTGGGGGAATCTGCTACAAGGGATTGCTATGCTAGTCACACTCCCTTGCTAAATCACTACTAAACTCTTGTAAGAGCTTGTTCCTGCCTTGCTCTCTGGAGGAATCTCTGGTGGTTATGGTGTCAGCTGGAGTGCTTGGATCCCTCAGGAAGCGCTAGGAGCATCCTTCAACGGAGGTACCCAGTCGGGGTGACAGGTGATCCGTTACATCCATGGTCAACATCAATGCGAGTATGTGGCTTAAATGGTATAACAGAGCTCAGTTCTCCACCCTCTTTTAAGGGTCCCTCTCTTTCAGTGCTGGATACCTGGAGTGATTATAGCTGCCTCACTCAAACACTAATTGAGATTTAGTGAAGGGTGCATAAGAACAAGTCACACTTTTATGCACACAACAGGGGATCCATGGTTTAAACTATGAAAATCCCACCCTGGCACCTCAGACTCAGAGATAAATAGATCAGTAACCACTACGTTAATTACACCCCAGACACCAGGGCAGAATTACAATATATCCCAAAAACAAACATAACCTTCATGTCTTATATCCCCCGATAGCACTCCCCCACTTCCTTAACCCCTTAAGGACCAAACTTCTGGAATAAAAGGAATCATAACATGTCACACGTCATGTGTCCTTAAGGGGTTAAAAAGAGCTTGTCGCACTCACAGTGTTGAATCACCACCTGGTTAAAGTTTCTGCTGGCCTTAGCTGATTTCCGATCGAAAGTTACACGTGGCCAGAGTGACCTCTAGGCTGCTTGTAGCTTTCCTTGTGTGGCACGGTCACCGGATAGATTTGGAATGCGGACGCTCTTCAGAGCTGGGCCTTGTGAAAGGTAGGGGAAACCTCAGGGAGAGTAAGTACAGCTCTTAAGTGGGAACGTTTTTATCAGTGGCAGAACTGTGGTTCTGTCAGAAATGGTTACTGCAATCATCATATCCACCGTAGCCAGATGTAGTAGTTATGTTGCTGGGAGTACGCTGCGCACCTCCATGGTAAAGAGGCATCTAACTTTCCAATGGTTTGCCTCTTACCTGGGTCCGCTAGATGCCAAGCCTCCTCTAATGCGGTTCTGTGCAAGAGATCTGCATTGACATTAGCCAGCCTGAAACTCATTTACGTCTTACTAACCAAAGCTGCCTGTGGTGGAGTTATTCCTCCGACAGGAACAATAACTCTGTGCAAGGTTTTACTCCAAGTGTGCTCTAATGGTTATGTTGCCAAGAGTACCTTGGTGCCTTAATGGTTTGACTTTGTATCGGGGGTCCACTCTCCTCCTCTTCATCTACAGTTCAGTGACAGCTGGAAGCTCCTGCTCAGGAGATTTCTGTTAGCTCACTTCAGCATTGGCGACTGCTCTCACACACTTAAGCCATGAACCACCATGCTTCTTTACAGAAGAAAGCGTCCATCTCTCACTGAGCAGTAGAGGAGGCCAGGAGCAGCGCCCAGTGGACTCCAAGTAAAAAGTCATGAAGGGGGCACCAGGACACTGCAGATGCCATCAGCACTACAACATGCTGTATTGGTTATGATGCATGGAGTGTGCCTTTCAAATAACAAATTATATTTAAATACCATTCCGCCTTTTCTTTTTCTTCTTCATCCAAGTATGAAAATTCTCTCCAAGAATCAAAGTTATACCTAGAATGAACAAAGTTTACAGTTTAGTATGATAAAATACTCCAAGTTTTTTTAGGGAACAGATATATACTTGGGCAATAATAAATAGTTTTTTAAAAAAGCACAGAGGATTTCTTTCAATGGTGGATCACCCTTTTACTTTTACACAAATATACATTTATACACACCACCCAGCATATAAGCAACTCACCAGAAAGAATAAAATGAATCTACGTCTTCAATAGAGGTTTTCATATCTCCAAGCTTTGGGACATTTTTTGTGTTCGACCACCTGAAATATACAACCAAAGGGTAATCAAGTTTAAATATAAGTCCAGGAATATATAGAATGCCCTGTATTGATGTGCATTTAGGGAATAAATGTGTTCATAAAGTGCTGTACTCTTTCCGTGACATTTAGGTTTTGTTTTTTTTTTCTTTAAATCGGTTTTGTATCTTGTATTTTACCTGCTATTTCTGTCAAACACAGGATTAAACACTTCGAAGAAGTTGTCTCTGCCTTCATTCTTGGATGGGATTGAATTATCAAAGGTTGGGTCAATGCTGTTGAATGCTCTTCTCTTCAATGGGTCGGATAAAATTTCATATGCTACATGTTGGTAAACACAGACACAAAAGAGTTATCACTTTTCTACAAAGTATTGTTTGTAGCTCATTTAGTAATGATACATTTTTGCCCTGGCAAATTCTGCTTTTAAAGAACAACATTGTATGACGTGGAACAAAAAAGTAGAAATAAAATAAAATAAAAACATACCTTAGAAAATTTAGATTCAATTAAAGTGAAAAAACTATACTACACAGAAGGAAATAAAGGCGCATTTAAATATTTCTTAATGCTGAGCTTTTCTACTTCTCCTGTTTATCTAAAGAATAAATCTGTGGGTGTATTAACCTGAACACATCACATCCTTTAACCTCACCTTTAGTGATGCACGTGAAGTAGTCATTGTCACCCTCAACGATCTGCTCCCCAGCTGCCTTTCTCTTATCAGGATGGTGTTTCAGAACCATTGCTTTATCTAAGAGAAAAAAAAATGTAATTTTATTTATTCAGTTCAACTTTTTTTTTTTTTTTTTTAATTGTATGAAATAACAAGTATCACAAACAGCGTTTGAAATAATTCTGAGGAATCATTTGTTAAAATGACATTCAACAAGTGGATCCCAATGGCTTTAATCTTTCCAAGGCTAAAATTTATATTGGATCTTCTCTAAATGGCATTCAAGAAAAATAAACCACAGCAACCCTGCATTGTCATAAATAAGCACTGTATGCTCAATTATCAGATCCGTACATTAGGGACAATAACACAGAAGTTAGATGATCATATCTTATCTCTGGTTAGCTATAATGTAATATTACTTACGGGCTGCTTTAATCTGCTTCTGTGTGGCTTTGTACCTCAAATTCTTCAACCCAAGCACAGCATAATGATCTTGGTTCTGCAGAGGAAAAAAAACCAACACACACAAAGCTTCATGATTTCAGAGGTAGACTACCAGCACAATTAAGTATTTTATCTGTTTTTTATTTATGTAATCTTGTAATACCTTTTTAATTGGACTAACAGAATTTTTAATGACAAGCTTTCAGGAGAACCTCCCTTTCTCAAGTCTGAAGCATTTCTGAGCAACACGACACATAGAATTAAAAGTTAAGTTGAGATACAGGGGTGAAAGCGATATGGTGCTGATAAGACAGGTTTGATAGAACATAGACACCATTCTTGCAGAGGGTCGTAAATATCTTATGTGAAGATCACAGAGTGAGGGGGGAGAAAGAGAAAAACAAGATATAAAGAGAGAAAATATATATATTTATTACACTCCAGATGCCTAAATCCCTATCTTGCTGAAGCTTGGTATAAAGAGTGTGCCCTCTTTTTTTCATTTTACAAAAAGTGCATATTTCAACAGATTAGCCTGGTTACACAACAGGTCCTGTTACTGCCCGATTTCGTTAACTCGTAGAGGTAAACTCTACAGGCATCATTAACCCAGAGCATTTGCCTTGCAAACAGTTCTCTAGTTGAGCTGCATTGGGAAGTCTGTGATTGGACAGCCACAGAAAGTCTGGACTAGGGAAGAAGGGGAGGGCTTGCAAAGGTAGCAGACAAGAGATCCTGCAGGTTTTGCAAGCTGTTTTTAGATATACACCCAATGAAAAAAAACACATTATTTAATGCATGCAAGTTTTCATTTGGGGTATATCTACTAAAAAAAGTGATTTTCATGGGGGCGGACCCTGACCATCATGGAGGCAAGACAAACCTTGGACAAGCTCCTACACAGACCTGCTAAATGCGGCATTTTACAGCCTACTAAAGCTTGATCTGATAGCCTACTCAAAATTCAAGCAAACTAACTCATCTGCAATGCAGGAAAGTGGTTGGCGACGCGAAGAAAACTTGTCGGCCCCTCCATGGCAAAAGCGGCCTGGTGTGCTTCGGGCGGGGGATGCGGCCATCCCCTTGTCTCGGGGATTCCAGCAGAGAAGGCCCTGGCTACGAGCATTTCCTACGGTGGCCTACTCAAGATGGCGGCGACCACACAGCTCCCAGCTGCTGACACCAACCCTGTAGATATACTCACCCGCCAGGATAAGCTGTTCCTAGACTTCTGGCAGTGGCTCGAACTAAGGATAGCTCAACCCGCTCCTCCAGAGCCAATGGCTCCCTCACATCAGGGCCCCCAACTCAAGCGTGCAGCTCCACACGTGGGAAGAGGTCCCACAAGGCAGCAGAACAGGCAGCATGCATTGTCCAAGCGCTGGACGACATGAAGGCCTAGCATGAGGCTGCCAAGGCCCACCTCAAAGTCTCCACAGGGGGCTGCAATGCCTGCAGGTCACTTAATAGCGATGGAGCCACTGCAATGCCTACAGGCACCTGCTCGGCCTGCCCTGAAGCATCTCACCATAAAACCGGATTTCACCCTACCACTTGAGAGCATCGGCTGAGCCGGGCTGCGTGATGGGATTATTGGGACTCGTGGTTAATATGTATGTGTCCACCACTACCTCCTAGGGGGATAAGCTACAATTATGTTGATTCTACCTTTTACTGTTTTTCACAATTATATTTTTTCACCCCAGTGTCAGTCTATAAAGCATGTTTCCATTTTTACTTTTGCATACTCATTTACTGAAACATCCTGACTTAACCTGTTTAACTTCTCTTAAAAATACAAAAAATAAAATTTAAAAAAAAGTGAAGATTGCTCACATGCCATACTACACTGTATTTTGAAATGTCTGTGTTTGCTGTTGTGGCATAGAAAGTCTGATTGTTAACCTTGTGCACAACAAAATAAAGATTTTTTTTTTATTATTATTATTATAATTATTCTGTATTTGGGCAATGGAGTGTCCCTTTAATTATTACTCCAGCATGGTGAATTTAAAATTAAACCATCTAATTAAAGCGGATTTTCAGCACTTCACCCTTTAAGTTGCTTCATTTTAAATACAATCGCAGAATGTAGCATATTATGCCATTGGCATCAGCCATTGCAAGTGACAACTGATGGGGACATACAACACCTTATGAGATGCCCTACAGATGCCATGAAATCCAACTGTATATGCGCAAGAAAAACCATGGTTGATCTCAAAGGTCCTCATGCATGCTCCATTAAGAAGAGAAATATGTTAAGAGAGCTTACAACTACACTCTCAGAGCTAGAAGCCTCTAACAACCATCCAAGAAACTGATCTATCGCAAACTCGCTCGCAATTACAAACCTTACAACTACAAGACATAGCTAACTACACGTGCAGGCTGAAACAAAATTATTATTCCCAAGGCAATCGAGCGGGCAAATTACTGGATGTGAAACTTAAAGCAAAGTAAAATTCAAAGCAAGGCCACTTTCCTCTTAACCTTAGCAGGAGGTAAAGGCAACCAACCCAGTCATCACATTGAACAAAATTTACTAAATTCTACAAAGCCCTATATCTCCTTGGATTGCAGTAAGACCACTAAGCCATCCCAATCAGACATCGATATCTTTCAGACATAACCATCCCAACCATTGCCACAGACCAAGATGAACAACTCAACGCTCCCATTCCTGTAAAGGAAGTGAAACTAGCCATGTTCAGTTTACTGAAGCACCAGGCCCAGACGGTTTCTTAAATCTCTACTACTCCATGTTCTCCAACATTCTAGCCACACATCTGACAACATTGTTTAATGGAATTAGAGACATGGGCAACACATATCATTAGCCTGCCCAAGCCAAGGAAACTGCCCACAACTTAATTTCTGGACAATCTCATTGCTAAACGCAGATACCAAACTATTTGTAAAGATACTTGTACCGCCCTAAACAAGTGGCTCCCAAACCTAGTCTCTCTCGGGGTTTGTGCAGGGATGCCAAGGCTCGGACAACACCAGATGCACACTTGTTCTTATTGAAATCTCTGAAAGACACAATATCCCTGGTCTTTTCAAGGCCGAAAATGAATTTGACAAAATCAATTGCTGTACCTCAAATCTGTTCTTAGCAAATTTGGTTACCCTCCTCTTTTCTTAAGCCAGGAATTATACACACACCCCTTAACAATATTTACCCATGTCATCTTATATAAACAATGGGACGAGCCAGGGATGCCCTATTTCCCTGTTAATATTTATAATGGCTTTAGGGCCATTAATCCTAAAATTAAAACTGAACTTAGAATCAAGGGTTTCCCCTCCTACATTGGCAAAACAACTAATTTCCCTCTTTGCGGACGACATCCTTCTACCCATTACTAACTTGTCAGAATCTCTCGCAGCAGCCATTTTGTTACTAATCAACTACGCCAAGGTCTCATACTACAAAAATAATGTAGCTAAAACGCAAGTTCTTCAACTCAACATACCTCAAACTATCTTGTTTTCCTCAAGCCATACCCCTTTGATTGGCGAACACACTATTTAGCCTACCTAGGTGCTAAACTTACATTACACTCAAATACTCTTATTCAAGAGAACCATTGAGGTTTGATGTCCAAGTTGCAAACCTTACTAACAGAGTGGGCAGCATACAAAATATCATGTTGGCCGCGTTCACTCCATCAAAATGAGTGCTCTCCCATTGATTCCGTGCCTATTCCATCACTGCCAAACAAGCTTCCCAAGACCCTCTTACAGAGCTTTCAATGCATAATAAACTCACATATCCAGAAAAAAATACCACCTCGTATAGCAATGGGTACCCCCTGTAACCAGGTTGGATTGGGAGTCTCAGACATTCTAAGCTGCTACACAGCATCCATACTAGCCCACACAATGGTAATGCTACACTTTGGCACAAACTGGAACAAGCACACTTGGCTCCTTATACAGAGGCTTAACTGCTATGGACTCCATCGCACCTCAGTTCCTCACGTGTATTCGCCTTAGCAACCTTACGGCCGGCACTGCAAACATGGAGACAAAGTGTTTAAACTACTGGAGCCATGCTCGTACCTGTACTTCACTCCACTTACAACACTGCTCCTACACACGCTGGACCTCCACCTAAAACAATGACTCCACTCTGGCATCACCATAGTGTGAAGCTTTTTATAATCTAAAATATTACCTTAACCAAAAATATGGGCACAATTCACTCTTCCAAATGGGAAAATAGTTACCTACCTCCACATGAAACACATATTTCTATGTCATAAACTCCACTTTCCTGTTTGGGAACTAACAAATGCACCAAAAAAAAACCACAAAAAAAAAAACCAAAAAGAACACTATCCACATGCTATCAGGCACATCTTAACTCAAACATCGGAGAGAAGCACTCCATCTGTCAACGGGAGGAAAAGCTCCCAGTCGAAGATTGGACCAAAGCGTTAATAGCTATGATGGGGGGTATCAGAATGCTTATCCCACTGGGAAACAAGCAGGAAGGTTTGGTTTAGGTGGTACTTTACCCCTAAGCATTCAAAGCACATCTATCTCACAGATTCCAACAAATGCTGGCGTTTCAACATAGATGTTTGGGAGCCACATTTTTTAGAGCTTTTGTCAGGCATCCAGACCATCCTACAGAAACTCTTTGAGGTACAACCATATTTCCAATCTCAAGCATTTATCCTAGACATGCTACACATATCCTTACTCGCAGTACACCAAGCCTTAGCACTACATGTCCCCAACGGAGACAAAAATAGAATTGCAAAACATTGGAAAACCATGACTGTCCCCTCAACATTGCTAGTGTCACAAGCACTCCAATCCAAGAAGATGTATTTATTATGCATTAACGAAATTCAGTTTAGTCCAGTTGGGATAGCTGCTTCAACAATCAAACAGACAGTCTGGTCTACCTGGGGTACATCCTCTAATGTTTTGCCTCCCCCATCCCTTGCCACAGCACGCCTTCCCTCCCGAATTCACATTCAAAATATGCTGCATGATATTGTGACAGAGTAAATGTATGTACGATTGTTAGAATACTGTTCTATCCTGAAATGCTTCATCTATACTGTGATCTCAGCACCCCTGTCTTGTGGCATTATTGTTATTACTTTTGCTGTTAATTCTCAATAAAGATGAAAAACATTTAAAACAATTTTAAAGAATACATCTACACCTCTTAATACTGCAATTGGGTGCCTTCATCTTCAGCTCCCAGTAAATGAAAATTTTCCTCTGCATGCATACTGAGTGCAGTTTTCTGTTACGATAATGAGAATATATATACCTTCCAATCCTTGGGATCAAGTGTTTTTAATAGTGGAAATTCTTCTAGCTGGTACTCTTCATCCTCAGACTCCTCTGATGATTCCTTCTCATCCTCTAGCTCCTGGAATGAGGCAGAAACGCTCCTATTTCTGCGTTTGATAAAGGCTTCGAACCATCGTCCTACTGGTTCTACCTGACACAGCACTGAAGCTGTCACACAAAAAAAAAAGTTGTAAAAGTCAGATCCAAGCAATCATGTTAATAAATAATACCAGCTTATCTGAGGAGGAGTTGTGATTGGGGGCTGTTTTTACAAATGAAGTTTCTATCCTAGTGTGTGATAAACTACAATCATCCTCAGCCAGCATTATCTACCTCGGTTATAAATCATAAAAAGGCACATTCATTTCTCTTAAATCATGCCAGTAATCTACATCATGGAGCTCTGTAGCAAACATTAAAATAAATAAATTTACTAAACTCCAAGTGGAACTCTTAGTGCTGTGTTCATGTTTACTTCATTCAGAGATAATTATATATATATAGGCTGGGGGGGGAGGACAATAGGTCCCCCCCTTTGAAGTAATTTAGGGCCCCCACCCGCTGCTCAGAGGTGGGGGGTGTGGGGGGGAGGACAATAGGTCCCCCTTATTCTGATTTAGGGCCCCCACCCACCGCTCAGGTGTGGGGGCAGGGAGGGAGGGCAATAGGTCCCCCCCTTTGAATTAATTTAGGGCCCCCATCCGTCGCTCAGGGGTATTTAATTTCTTCAGGTCACCAACCAAACAGGTAGGCTAACACTCTAGCATTAAGAATACACATGTAAAGAGATTCTATAGTGTAAGAGTTGTATGCCTTACACTATAGTGCCTTCTGTTCTCCCCCTCGCTCATGCCATCCCACCCCCGCCGACTCATACAATACTTCCTCACGGGGAAGTTACGAATGCTGGATGTCCTCATGCAGGATGTTCAGCAACAGTTAAGCCACCTAAAGTACATTCGGATCCAGGAAGTGCCTCTAATGGCTGTCAGTTTCTCTAAAAATTTAATGATTTACATTGCAGGACTAAGTGGGATAGGGACACTGAACCCAGACCCCTTCAGTGACATTAAGTAGTCTGGGTGCCTATAGTGTACCTTTAATTTTGTCCAATTTTGGATGGAATTCACTGGCTGAATATCAGTTGACTTACAGTGTCCATTAAATTTAAAATCTCCCCAAAACTTGGATACTGCATATTTGTGCCACTAAAGTCTGTGTACTACGCCAACACAATGAGTTATACACACACGCTGCAAACGTAACACTATTTCATATTCACTTTTTTCCACAATAACCCAGAACAGTTCACTAAATTTGAGGAAAGGAAACAAACAAAATACTAAAAGTAATAAACAGGAGGGAACTAAAACGACTCACATGATGATTGGAAACGAAATTCCTAAGTGTTTGTGGTAGAACATATAATTTACACCCTAGCAGAGTAAAGACCTGCTAGAGTAGACAGAGCTCCAGCCATGCACACGGAGCTCCAGCCATGCACACTGAAGCTCCAGCCATGCACACTGAAGCTCCAGCCATGCACACTGAAGCTCCAGCCATGCACACTGAAGCTCCAGCCATGCACACGGAGCCCCAGCCATGCACACGGGGCTCCAGCCATGCACACGGGGGTGCATGTCCTCCACGCTGTACCATAGGCCTTTCCTATAAAGCAGCTGGGAGATTGGTGCTCGGTGTGGGCTGTGTGACTGGAGGGCACGTTGTGTACCTGCACTCAGGGTCCCGGTGACCGCGGTGATGTCCTCAGGCTTGGCCTCTAGAAGCATGGTGCCGGCTATTGGGAGCACCACGGTGCACAGCAGGAACCTTCTTCACCCGGCACTGACGGACAAAGCCGCATGGAAGCAAGGCAGGCACTTCCGGGTCACCAGCGTGTCACAGCCAAACTCTCCCGGGCAGCAGCACAGTCCGTGTCTGAGCGAGCCGCCACAGTCAGGGCAGCAGTGACCGTGATAAACATGTACTGACTGCTGCTACAGCGGAATAAGGCTTATACAGGGATTTATTCACTAAATGGCGAACTGTATTGGTTTATACAACGATTAACGTCATTTAGGTTTTATGGTATAGCTGGAGGTGGAGATTTATTTATTTTTCAAAATCAGATCTTTTGGCATATATTTTTCCATTCGGATTTTAATTCATTACAATTCAGAAATTAGTGAATGAAAAACACAGTCAGGAAAGAAACAAAACTTAAAGGAATGATAGAATGGAATGCCCATATACCTGAACAGGGCAGTGGAATGCCCATAGCCAATAATAGAACAGAATGGAATGCCTCTTGGGAATAATGGAAACAATATTTGAATTAGAGGCCAAACTAGGTTTGCCATATGTCCGGACTCCCCTAGACATTACCTCTTTTTCAGGGCAATGTTCATGCCTGGGGGGGGGGGGGATTTCAGACTTTGTCAGGCTTTTTACGCTGGCGCCAGCGTCTGTAAGCAACATTGGTGCAGACGTCACTACGCGTTGTCAATGTCAGTATGCAGCGCAGAGTCGCCAACCTGACTCAAGCCACTACATCCTCCTTGCTGTCGATGAGGAGATGTAGAGCTTTTTTTCCATCGTAGCAACTACATCAGGCCACCATGTTCCTGCTGCCTTCACGTCTTCACTTATCTCCAGTTCTCCACTGATGCAACAGGGGGATAAAAAGAGGGAGGAGGGTGGTCTGTCAGGGGTATATAAGAAAAGTGCAGGTTTTAGGGAGTGGCGGGAATCTATGCAGAGAGGAGGCTAGCAAATGTATGGCCTGCTTAAGTACGGCAAATGCAATAACGCAAAATTAATTAATTTAGTTGCCATTAGCTGTAAAAATAATAATTCCAAAACCATGACGAAATGAAAGAGTAATTTATTTTTCTTTTATTTAAATACTTTTTTAAATTGATTTTTTTTGTGGAAAAATTCCCTAAGGCGTATACACCCTGTTCCAAATTATTATGCAAATTCTATTTAAGTGTCACAAAGATTAAATATTGTGTTTTTCAGTTTAACTCATGGATGGCATTGTGTCTCAGGGCTCTTTTGATCACTGAAAACAATCTCGGACACCTGTGATAATTAGATTGCCAGGTGAGCAATTTAAGGAAAAACTACTAAAGGAGGCTGTTCCACATTATTAAGCAGAGCACCATTTTCATGCAATATGGGAAAGAAACAGGATCTCTCTGCTGCTGAAAAGAGTGAAATAGTTCAATGCTTTGGACGAGGTATGAAAACATTAGATATTTCACGAAAACGTAAGCGTGATCATTGCACTATTAAAAGAGATTTGTGGCTGATTCAGAGCACTGACGGGTTCGTGCAGATAAAGGCACATTGAGGAAGATTTCTGCCAGATCCATGCATTGGATCAAGAGAGCAGCTGCTAAAATACCATTACATAGCAGCAAACAGATATTTGAAGCTGCTGGTGCCTCTGGAGTCCCACGGACATCAAGGTGTAGAGTCCTCCAGAGTCTTGCAACTGTGCATAAACCTTCTATTCGGCCACCACTAACCAATGCTCACAAGCAGAAACGGCTGCATTGGACAGAAAAATACATGAAGACTAATTTTACAACAGTCATGTTCACTGATGAGTGCCGTGCAACCCTGGATGGTCCAGATGGATGGAGTAGTGGATGTTTGGTGGACGGCCACCCTGTTCCAACAAAGCTGCGATGTCAGCAAGGCGGTGGTGGAGTCATGTTTTGGGCCGGAATCATGGGAAGAGAGCTGGTCGGCCCCTTTAGGGTCCCCGTAGATGTAAAGATGACCTCTGTAAAGTATGTGGAGTTTCTGACTGACCACTTTCTTCCCTGGTACAGAACTATGCTTTCCGTAATAAAATCATCTTCATGCATGACAGTGCACCATCTCATGCTGCAAAGAATACCTCTACATCAATGGCTGCTATGGGGATAAAAAGAGAGAAAGTCATGGTGTGGCCTCTATCCTCCCCTGACCTCAATCCTACTGAGAACCTTTGGAGCATCCTCAAGCAAAAGATCTATGAGGGTGGGAGGCACTTTACATCCAAACAGCAGCTCTGGGAAGCTATTCTGACATCTTGCAAACAAATTCAAGCAGAAACTGTTCAAAAACTCGCAAGTTCAATGGATGCAAGACTTGTGAAGCTGCTATAAAATGTTTAAAAAGTTAAAATGTTGTTATAAGTTTGATTGAAATAGCTTTTGATTTCAGTAAATATGCTGCAAACACAACAAATGACAATTTTCAGTTCTTTACAACCTATAAAGTGTTTGGAAATAATAATTTGCGTAATAATTTGGAACAGCACATTGTAAGTTTATGTTTAAAAAAAAAATACTGTTATCATTAGGAGGTTTGTTCAATAAAATTTGTACTCTAAATAGTTGATAACATGAGAATTATGCTGACTGTTATTTACATCAATTATTTAGGTAAATGAGAAAAATATCATTTGCATAATAATTTGGAACAGGGTGTATATACAGTTTGGACAACATAAAACCAAAACATACATTACATTAGAGATAAACACATAATATTTGTAACGGCACCCCCAGGCACAAAAGGGTAAAACCGCCATTTAGAAGATCTTCCCCTTCCAGAGACACAGGCACAGCTACTGCAGAACACCAATCCGCTGAACAGGAAACCATATGAATGCTGTAAACAGCCGAATAGGAAAAACCATACAAATAGGTTTACACTACTAGCAGTCGAACTGGAACAGCATACAATAAATCCCCCCAAGAACGAGACAAAGCTCCACGTTGAACCATTAAAGAACATCACTATTTTGTTGGATAAATAATTTTTTTTAAATATTATTCCATATTGATAAAATGTGATTATGTATCATACAGTTATATTTATCAGACATTGTAGTCTTCAAATATTCTAAAGTCCATACTAATATAGATAAGTCTTTAAGTCTATTTGTTTTCCTCTATTTTAAACCAATCTTCATTGTTAAATATTGGATTATGCATCTTTTGAATATGATATATGATACTTGCATAATAATATTGTTGGACAATAGGAAAACCCAATCCCCTCACCTTAGTGTTTTTTGGCATTATATCAATATTAATACGTGGAATTTTCCCTTTCCACACAAAGTTTCTGAAGCTTCGTTGGATGAGGTCTAACCAGGGAGTTGGAAATTTTAGTGGCAATATTCTGAATAAATAAACCCATTTGGGTAAGATGTATGCCTGTTGATTCTGCCATACCATGATATCTCTTTGGTAATCCATTCTTTTAATAGTATAGTCATAGCTCTTAAGTTATCAAGGAAGTTACATTCGACTATTATTTGATATCTAATGGAATGATTACTCCCAGATAGGCTAAGCTTTTCTTTGAGAAGTCCAAATCATATTTACCACAATTTCTCTCTCGTTCAGGTTTAGTTATGTTATAAAATAAAGCTACAGTTTTGGTCATATTTAATTTGTAGCCAGAAATATGACTAAATCTATCTAATTTGTCTAATAAATATTTCAGTGATTTGTTTGGACCAGTCAAAAAGACAAAAACATCGTCTGCATGTATGAGCAGAATTTTGACTGTTGGTGCTTTAATGGATACCCCTTTTTGTCTTTGTTTTCTCAGATTTTTTTTGGCAAATGGTTCAATTGAAAAGATGTACAAAATTGGGGAAAGAGGACAGCCTTGTCTAGTTCCATTTTTTAGATCAAACCAATTTGAACATAGATTCAACCCCACAACCTTTGCTGTTGGAACCATATATAGCAATATTATAACGACAGGGTAAGGAGGGCGGTATATGTCCACTCAGCCAAATCTAAAATATCAATTCTTTTTCTAATGCTATTACACGATGACCTGCCTGGCACATATACAATCTGGTCCTGATGGATAGAAACCAACAAAATAGTTTTCAAACGTTCTGCTAATATAAAAGAAAATAACTTAGTATCAATATTTATCAGTGTGATAGGATGGTAACTGGTTAGATCTGCTTTTTTTCCCCCTGTTTTAATATAAATACGATATTTGCTTTCAACATTTCTTGGGGGAAATTGCCTTTATCTCATTAAAAGTTGTCAATAAATGATGTGCTATTTCTTTTTTATAACGTTTATAAAATAAATTGCTGAAACCATCAGGACCTGGTGTTTTATTTTGTGCTAATTTTCCAATTGCTTTTTCAGCTTCTATTATGTCTATTGCTTGGTTTAGTCTATTCCTTTTTTCATTTGGCATTGGGGGTGGTTTTATATTTCTCAAATAATTATTAATCTCTTTATTTGACACTTTCTTAGGGAGATTATAAAGTTGTTTATAGAAATCAACAAACGCATTGACAATATCTTTTGGGGTCATATAAACTTGGTCGTTAACTTTTATTGAAGAGATTCTTTTAGTGTTTTCTTTTTCAATTTATTTGTGAGAATTTTATCCGCCCTGTTTCCTTTATGATAAAATTTCATTTTAAGTCATTATAATTTTTTAATTGTCATGTCTAGTTCCAACAATTTAATCATACTTGAAATGTTTTCAAGATTCTTATTTTTTTTTAATTACGGGATTATGATTATTTTTAATTTCTTGAGAAAGATTATAGAACTGTATATAAAGCTCAGTTAAAGAAGCTGTGACGAAGTGCCCTTCGCCACTTGGTCCTGGAGAGGCCTGCTTGCCAGCCTCCTTCCCGGTGACTATGACTCTTTGATGTAGTTGGCTTTAAAGCCCCTATTCTACCTTCAGACAGACTACTTATGTAGGTTGCTTTATTTCTCTTATGTTTTAGTCACCCTGT